TTTTGAAATTGAAAGCATCCTTTCACATGCTAAACGAGTGGTGAATTGTTCACGTGTTCATAAATTGTTCGGTTTCTTTCAATGGATTCCTAAACTATGGTTGGACAGATTATCCAAGTATGGTCACTTTTTGAAATTGAAGCATCCTTTCACTGCTAAAAGAGTGGCTGAATTGTTCACTTCAGAAATTGTTCGGCTTCATGGATTTCCTTAAACTATGGTTAGTGATCGTGACCCACTCTTCTTAAGCAACTTCTGGAAAGAATTATTCAAGCTCCAAGGCACCCAACTCAAGTTCTCATCAGCCTACCACATATAGATGGACGGGCAAACTGAGGTTCTGAACCGATGTGTTGAGTCTTACCTCCGCTGCTTCTACTCCGAGCAGCCGCAAAGCTGGGCAAAATGGTTTGGATAGGCAGAATATTAGTACAATACAAGCTTCCAAGGTGCAGTAAAGAAGACACCTTTCAAGATAGTCTATGGCCGTCCACCCCCCACCATTCATCAACACCTGCCGGGGGAAATAAAGGTAGAGGAAGTGTCACTTCAACTTCAGGATCGGGATGAAATCATTCGCCAGCTGAAATTCAACCTTACAAAGGCTCAACACTTGATGACTAAGTACTCCAACCGCCATAGGTGCGATGTGCAATTTCAGGTGGGTGACAAAGTATTCCTCAAAATCAAACCCTATAGGCAACAATCAGTAACCTCACGGGTTAATGCTAAACTTGCAGCGCATTTTTATGGCCCCTTCGAGGTTGTTGCTAAAGTGGGAGCCGTCGCGTACAAGCTGCTCCTGCCCTCTTCCTCTCGAATACACCCGGTCTTCCATGTATCTCAGCTGAAAAAGGTCGTTGGGGAGCATAGGTTGGTCACCGAACAATCTGAACAACTGCAAGATGTTGGAGAGCCTATAGTAGAACCTGTTGCCATATTACAGACTCGCTCTGTCAAGAAAGATGATACCAACGTCAAGCAGTTCCTTGTTCAGTGGACAGGCCATCCGGTTGAAGAATCCACCTGGATGGACGCATCTGACTTTATTGGGCAATTTCCATATTACAACCTTGAGGACAAGGCTGTTAATTCAGGGAGAAGTATTAATAGAAATGAGCCCAGGTCCTTTAAGGTTTACTCAAGAAGGCCAAAGACTGCTGCTAATTTGGTGAGTAATCCAAGAAAACAGGGGAATAATCCAAGGAATGAGAATGTAACACCTATCACAATCGGTTATGATGAGCGTATCACGCCAATACAAGAAGGCAAGTGAGGAGAAGGTTGAGGATCTTTTTGGCAAATAGTTTTGGACAGATTATTCTGTTGGAAAGCTGTAGCTCTTGGCTTGGTTTCTTTGGAATTAAGATTTTAGTTATCTCTTGTATTTCTTTTCTCCATTTTAGACTACTGAGATTATTGTATTGACAATACATTGTTATTGATTCAGTCCTATCAATCTAATACAATTTCTCTCTTCTTCCTTTTTTTTTTTTTTTTTTTTTTTTTAATTGATTCAGTCCCTATTGATCTAAATATACAATTTTCTCGATGCTCTTGGCATTACTCCTGAGATTATTGTATTGACAATCCACTATTATTGATTCAGTCCTATTGATCTAATACAATTTCTCTCTTCTTCTTTACACTCTCTTTATCTTCTTTTCTTTTCTTTTTTTTTCTGTTCTGTTTCAGCCATCTAATTTACAGATATTGGAACTGTTCCTTACTCTATCATATAATCATTAAAGGAAATCCTAGCTGATACTGCAGGGAAGAAAATTAAAAAAGGCGTGCCTTTTCTGTGCCTTGTGCCTGTGCAAAGGCGCATGCCCAAGCCCAAAAGCTCTCGCCTCATCAATGTCGCCCTCCTTTCAGTGTTTAAGGCTTCAGCCTTCGCACCTTAAGTTCAGCCTTTAACAACTATGTTCAAGTGTATCTTGTTCATTGGATTTTTAGCTGTTGTTTTTTTTTTTTTTTTTTTTTTTTTTTTCGGGTGGTTTTTTTTCTTTTGAAATTCTCTGATCATTAGATTCTATGTTGCCTTTTAAGCCTGACTACCGCTTGAGAAGTCTGCATATATAGAGCTGATTGAGAGTCGTGTGAGAGAATTGACTAATTCGCTGCTTAGAGTAATTGAGCATCTTGGAGGTGGTGATTGGGTGACTTACGGTGCTTCATGACCAAGCGCGTTAGACGCGGGAGCGGAGTGCGGCTGTGAGAGTATTAAGAGTGTAAGGTTTGGATTGGTGGAATGAAGCCAGCTCTGTTGTTGGTCATCCTTTCTCCTGTTTAGGTAATCTGGTCGACCTTTCTGGAGGCAGGATTATTGGAGGAGGAGAGTGATATCTTCATAAGGGTAAGCTAGGGACTCGAAATTAAGAGGGTGCAGGCTAGCTCACCGACGCACGGTAGGGCGAGCGTAGGAGCTCAACCAATCCGCCATACGTGACTTCACGATAAAGAGCAAATTGGAATAGATCCCTTCTTATTCCGTTTGGGTGGGCCTCTTTGTAGGATGTTATTTGGTTCTCTTTGCTTGTGTTATCACTTGGAAAACGCGAAGCTTTGTTCTAATAGGTCTGTATTTTCTACTATTTCTTTATTTTTGGTCTAGATCTTGTCTTGCTCCGTACTGTTTTATGGAGAGTTCTTATGTTTTTTGTCTTCTGAGAGTTTGTGGGATGTGTTTCTCTGAGTTTTTGAGGAGTATTTGGCGTTTTAAGTGAGAGGCTTTATCTCTCGTTAAAAGAAGTTTACAGTCACCATTAACTTTAAAATTTCTTTTCTCTTTTTTTATATATGTATGCACTCTTCAATTAATTCATGTGATGTAGAGCCTCTTGCTGAGATGTGCTTATGCCGGCCCCTTTTTTTTGCCACGTATGGTGTTTCACAATACATTTTAGGTGACCTAAGAATGGGAGCTACCCTATTTTGCGTTCTTGCAGGAAATAGTGGCTTTTCATTGAGATCCTGTAAGCAGCTTTATCTGTATTTAATGATAAATTTTAGGACTGGTTAACGGTGCCTTTTTCCTCAGTGTATTTGAGCCAAAGGCCCGCCTCTTTCCGGTGTATTTTGCGCTGGAGGGACTTTAGAGCTCGGACTGAGAGTTATGTTTTGTGGCGTGTATTAATATCTATTATTGTCTTATTATTATTAATACATACATTTATCTGAGTGTTTTGGTGTTAGATTTAAAGGGTTATATTGTTAATTAACTCTATTATTTTTTTGTTTGTAATATTAATATTGTTTGATATTGTGAAATATAGTTATTTTTATATCCTTTGAGATGGGTATATTGTGGACAAGAAAGAGAAAGAAGAAATTGCGTGCATTTGTATTTATTTCTTCTTTTTCCATATTCCAAGTGATTTATGTTAGCTAGAAAGTTCTTTAGTTAGAATAAAGAGAAGCCTGAAACGTGACCAGTACACATATGTAATATTTGGATAAGGTGGTCTAACCTGCTCCATTCAATATCCCAACTTGATATTTCTCCTCTTCTACGGTGTATTATTAGTTTTTATTGTTATCCTTATCAAATTCTTCGTAATCGTTTGTGGTCAACTGCTTCAACCCATGTGGTGAGATCAAAAGGATATTATACTAAAATATGGATATAGTTGGTCGGTATAATATGTAAATTCCACTAATTATTGCACAGTGTGACTACGGGGCAATTTAGTGGCTTATTTTACAACAATTTAGTTGCGTTAGATTAGGGTGATTTGGGTGGTTGGAAGTATAGAACGTAAATTGGTTACCTTCAAAAAATTAATACTTAGATATTTAAAAGCTCTTCTGTTATATTATACGGTATATACATACAGTATCTAACAGTTGCTTTGATATCTCTAACATTTATAACCTATCGTTGGATTTCGACAAACGGTCCGTAATTCTCAGTAACACTAATTATCATCTAATTAGTATCTAGATTTATTATTAAGTATTATCCGTGAGCTTCTAAACCCAAGGAATCCAAACTAAAAGGAATAGATGAAAAACCGATATTTGCCTTTCTATTTTAATTCACACTCACCTCGAAATTATTAGGATTAACTCAGCTACACAATAAGCGCATGAAGGGAGAGAGGCGCATACACTATAGCCCGAACTTCATAATTTGAGTCTGAGTGCTATCCCTCGCAATAAGTTGGCTTATCAGGCGCGAAGAGAGTGCGGCTCAATTGGATGTCATAGGTTAGAATATATTCAAGCATAAAGAATAAATTTATTCCAGTGTTATTCATATCTTGCGCGCTTATAAACCACATTTTCCTTCCTCATATATACCTCCAGTTCGGGTCTTCGTTTTTGAGCGCAGGGCTGGTTTATAGCAAAAGTGATCGGTGTGGGAGCACACGCATCATTCACCGTCCTACTTTCTTCTGGATAAATGGATCCATCCTTTTTTCCTCTAACAAGGCGAGTTGTGTTTGCGTAACGACTATGGCCGCTATGTATACACTGGTATTTGCTACAAGCCTTCTAGTTGAGCGTTTATTGTGCACGTCAGTGGGCGCTCCAGAGGGGATTGGTGAGATATTTCGATTATCACCATATTCTGTGCAGCACCGCCATGAAAATCGGCTCTCTGAAACTTATAATTGCTTGAATTAGCAAAAGTTCCGTGTGACAACTTTACTTGTATATGGATAAATACTTAGAGACACGAAGTTCAATTTGTCCGTGTAGAGACTATGTGGGATAACGATATCGCAAGGACATTCTGAATCATCATCTAGAGTTCTACCTTTTTTTTTTTTTTTTTTTTTTTTTTTTTAAATTCTTATCATAAATTATGGCTTTTATCCTTGACTATGCTTGAAACTCATTAAAGTAGTTATATCTTAGAAAATATTTGCTTTTATGGGTATAGTGATTGTAATTTTAAAAATTCTTAACCGATAAGCAATCTGGCTGTGAGATGGTATTATGTTAGGTTGTTTAACGCCTTTTCCTCTTTTCTGTTATTTTCATTTTGGCAGGATATTGGAGGGTGTGATATTCAAAAGCAGGAAATTCGTGAGGCAGTAGAGCTGCCACTGACTCACCATGAGCTTTACAAACAAATTGGAATAGATCCCCCTCGTGGTGTCTTGCTTTATGGTCCCCCTGGAACTGGGAAAACCATGCTTGCCAAGGCTGTTGCTAATCATACGACTGCTGCCTTCATTAGAGTTGTTGGCTCTGAGTTTGTTCAGAAGTATTTGGGTGAGGTATGTGTTAAAGATTTACAATTTTTTCTTTTTTTAGCGTATCATTTTAACTCAGGAGGAAGGCTTTGCGTGTGACCTTGGCATAGTGTCAATGATGGTGACCTAATGGAGCCCTATTTTGCTCTTGCAGGAATAGTGCTTTTCATGAGATCCTTAAGCACTTTTATCTGATTTAATGATAAATTTTAGGACTTGTAACGGTGCTTTTGGTATAGCGTTGGAGGTTATGGGACTGAGAGTTATGTGGGTAAACATAGTCTATTAATCATATTTACTGTGTTTGGTAGATTAAGGGTAATGATTAACCTATTAATTGTTGACATTAAGGTGATGGTGAAATTAGTATTTTAACCTTTGAGATGGGAGGTAGATAGAGAAGTCTCTTTTTTTTTTTTCTTCTTCATTCCAAAGTGATTTGAAGCTAGAAATCTAGGTTAGATAAAGAGAAGTTGAAACAAGTAGAATAGTTTTTTAGGTGCTAACCTCATTCAATCCCCTTGAGCTTTACTTGTTTTAGTTGTTATCCTACCTCTTCTAGGGCAACTGTTCAACTTGTTTTAAGGATAAATAATTAACTGGTTAAATATGAAATTATTATGCTAATCAGTGTGACTCGGGGGCAATTAGTTTTCAACAATTAGGCGAGAACAGGGTGATTGTGGTTGGAAGTATAGAACGTAATTGGTCTTAAATATAACCTTAGAATTAAAAGTCTGAATTAATAGAGAAAAATACAATACAGAAACTAACAGTTGTTGTCCTATTTATACTAGCTACGACAAATCCTAATTCCGTAATGAAAAGTATTTCTAATTAGTTAATTAATTAATGTCCTACTAAAAAGGATCCTAAATAAAAAAGGAAAACCGAATGCTTCCTAATTAATTAACATACTGAATAGGAATCCTAAAATAAGGAAGGAAACTAAAAGGAAACTTCCTAATTTAGCTGGATGCTCCTGCATAATTCTTCTCAAGCCATAAATCCGGCTTCAATGAGTAAAGGTTTAGATATATCAGCATAAGAATAGAATAGGATCAATCCATGTAAACTTTTCCTCAGAATACCTCGTTTTGAGGGCTTTTGCAAGAGTAAACAACATCACAAGCTATTCTAATAATCCATCTGTTTTCCTAGCAAGCAAAGTTGGTTCAACACAGCATTTCATGTATTTGCACAAGCCTTCTATTACTTAGGCATGTTGCTTGGAGATGTATTTCAATACCATGGGGTACGTGCACTAAACTATTTGCTTGATTAGCAAAAGTTGTACTAGAAATGAGATTAAGAAGTCATTTGTCTTGGCAGAATTTTGAATGCTGAATCTGAATCCACTATCTTATTGAACTGAATGATTAAAAAGTGGTATCAAAAATTGATTGCTGAATAATTAAGAAATGATATCAAGAATTTATTGTTGAATGTATATAGAGTTATTTTATAATTGTAAAGGCAATTTTTTCTTTTCATTCAATAAGTTATATAGCTTAGTGTCGACTCTAAAACGAAGTTTTTTCATTCAGAAAAAATATGACTTGCAAGTCCCGAGAAGCAACTTATAAGTTCAGCTCATACAAACAAACTTATTTCTTATTATCTTAATGAATAAGTTGGAGGACATAAGCTGTCATTAAGTTGAAACAAAAAATCCCTAATTGCATGATAGACATCTCTTACCGTTGATAATTCTTTTGGCAACCAAATGCTATCAATACATAGAAGCAAATACTTGAAGAACAACAATCTTCCTTTGTCTTCTCATCTTCAATGTTCCAATCTTCTTGTCCTCTATCTTAGGGTAAGTAAGAACTTGTTGGATAACAATATTCTCTTTGAGGTCAATTACTTGCTATTCCTCATCATAATTCTGATCATAGATAGATTCCATGAGGTCCTTGTTGTTGTCACTGTTTTGAGCATTAATACAACAAACTTCTTTTTCCTTTTTGCTTTAGGTGTGGTCATCAACATCTACCATTGTTTTTTTTCCCCACTCTAAATAATCTTCTTCATGTGACCTTCCATGAAAATTAGCTATTTCAATCTTCATCCACAGCCATTAGAATCAAGAGCATGTAGTAACAACTCTTAGCAATCCACCTGTCGCTTGGTTTGTGGGTCCAGCTTCATGAAAAGGGTTTGCGTCCTCCACTTTATCACCCTCTAGATCCTTTAGAATCTCTAGTTGTTTGTGTGGTCGCCTTCCAGAATCTCCATTCGGCTTCTATATGTTCCTCACATTACAAGGCTTGTACAGCCCAGGTCAGATCCTCATTTGCTGTATCCCAGCCAAATCTGTTTCTTGGGCATGATTGCTTCTGCCTTGACCTCTGCCTCTACCAACCACAGTTTAGAACCCCAAAAAAGAGACAAAAAATAAATCCTACAGCAATTTAGGATCTTTTGTGAATACAACTTTGACATAGGGGAGGGGGTTTAGGACAATCAGTTTTTAACAATTAGGGCTAGAAAAAGGATGATTGTGGTTGGAAAAATCTGAAATAATTTTTTTAAAATAAAATCATAGAATTAAAATTCTGAATTAACATACAATACATAAACTAGCTATTGTTGTCCATTTATACTAAGCATAATTCCATACTGAAAAGTATTTCTAATTATTTAATACTCTAATGAATAGGAATCCTAAATAAAAAGAAAAAAAAAGAGTAATTTCTAATTTATTAACATAGAAGACTTCCTAATTTAGCCATATGGCCCTGCATCACATTGTCCAAGGGCAAAGTGTTACTAGGGTAACGGTTGGCCACTGCAAATCAATGCCTCCATGAGAGGAGCAATTATATGCGCTTACATTATATTTTCAACTACTTCTGATAGTCATTTGGAATTATGTTGTGTTATTATTGGTTGGAAATGTATTTGCCCTTTGGCAGGTTGCCCTCTTTTTTTCTTTCTTTTTAGTTAACTCTAGGTTTATATAGCTTTATAAAATCTTCTCTTTTCTTTACCCCAGGGCCCTCGAATGGTTCGTGATGTATTTCGCCTTGCCAAGGAGAATGCCCCTGCAATCATATTTATTGATGAAGTAGATGCTATTGCTACTGCCAGGTTCGATGCTCAAACTGGAGCTGATAGGGAAGTTCAAAGAATCTTAATGGAACTTCTAAATCAGGTACAAGTTACAAAATTTCAAAATATTGAAGAAGATACTCCTAGGTTCTGCATGTAAAACATTGATATAATTTTGTAAATGATCCATAATTTGCTCCTTGATGTACATGGCTTCTGCTTTTAGATGGATGGGTTTGATCAGACAGTGAACGTTAAGGTCATAATGGCAACAAATCGCGCAGACACCTTGGACCCCGCACTCCTTCGTCCTGGAAGGCTTGACAGAAAAATTGAATTTCCATTGCCTGATAGACGGCAAAAGAGGCTTGTTTTTCAGGTACTTCATTTTTTTGTGTGACAATTAAGTGTTAATAATAACTAGGAGATTTATCAAGTTATCCTATTTGAATCATGATGACAGTTTTACCATCTCTGTTAAATTTGGTCTTTAGGACTTTTGATGTTTCAGTGCAAGTTAATAGGATTTTAATGGTTTTCCCTTCTTGTACAGGTTTGCACATCTAAAATGAATCTCAGTGATGAGGTAGACTTGGAAGATTATGTTTCTAGGCCAGATAAAATTAGTGCTGCTGAGGTTAGTTCCTTTTTCTTAATCTTCATGTTCAATGATTTTAAATTTTTGCATATTTTCTTCATTGGTTCCATGGAGTCCTAGGAGTCGCAGGAGATATTCGTTGGAACTGAAGCTTGGGCCCTTTTTATAGCAGTCACCCTTTACTTAATCTTCATGTTCTCTGATTTTAATTTTGCATATTTTCTTCATCGGTTCATATTCATTGGAACTAGAATCTGGGCTAATTTCTTTTGATATTCTTGAGAGAGACATTATTTAAAATTTGAACTGCCTTGTTAATTTTCTTATAAAAGTCAATTATTAAGCAGAAGATAATATAATGCCTCGTTTGACGTGTAACAGAAATTCATATAATATATCATTGTGATCAGTATGTAAAGACATGGTTGCAGAAATTGCATGGCTATTGGCCAATTTTGTGATGTAAATGTAATGTTTGTTATCAGGTATACTGGCTGTTGTGCAAAGGCCTGTTACAAAATTGCAATTACTTCATAATTTTTATATTTTTCCTTTATAAGCGAATATCAGGTCTTTTACCATTGAAAGATCAAACTTAATTCTCCAGAGTTCGGACTTAATTAGTGCTAGTTGTTTTAGCCAAATTTCTTGTGTATCTATTGATTTAATGTAATGGCTACAAATTGACATGAAAGGTGATCAATTGTAGTGTGAATTTGACATGCATTTGGCATTTGTTACTTTTGCCAATTCCCTAATTGTATTGCACCATGCAGATTGCAGCTATTTGTCAGGAAGCAGGCATGCATGCGGTGAGGAAAAATAGGTATGTGATACTGCCAAAAGACTTTGAGAAAGGTTATCGAACCAACGTGAAGAAGTCGGACACGGACTTTGAATTCTACAAATGAAGAGAGCCAAACACGAGTATTGCTAAGACTGGACTGTGCTTTTGAGGGATTGATAGCTTATGTCAGCTAATACTAATTGCTGAAAGATTCCAATTTGCATGATGCTATATGGTTTTGAGAGGCAAGCGCTCTTCAGACTGCCTGGAGTTTATGCTGGTGCCCAATGGTGTAGTATGCTTTTAGTTCCTCACATAAGGATAGGATAGGCTTTTATATGAACATTTCTCTCTTTTCATGTTGGTGTGTTTTATTTGTACTGAAAAAAAGCATCTTCCGACATCAACTTGAGATGTAACTTTTTTTTCCTTCCTTTTTTACCTTGTTCTGTAAACCTATTTTTAGTGAAATCGTTGCCTCATACTTCCTCTCTAAATATCAGAAAATCCTCCGGTCTTTCTTGGGTCTGTTATTTTTCTGTAAATTCTGTGTGTAATCACCGAGGCTCAAACGACAGTGGTGGATATTGGAGTGTCATAGATTGTGTTGCACAAACCTATAAAGCCATTAATTCACAATTGCAATTGGTTATCGAGGGTGTTTGGACATTGAGAACTTTTGGAAACATTAAGACAGCAATTTAGAATATGTTTGGTTAGTTGTAATAAAATGTATATCATGATTACTACCAGTAACGTAGATAATTCAGCGCAGAGGTGACAGTGGCATTAGGTGAAGTGTTTGTGCGTACCACAGTAAAGATTTCAGTGGAAGGTGAAGTGCTTGTGCGTTGCCACAGCAGAAGATTTCAGTTGAACCAGATGTTCTACAATTTTCAAGTTTCGTTTTGTTCAAAGATACCAACTGAAAATTAAAATCTATACTATATAAATGTGAAAATAGGGGGATGATGGGACTTTGATACTGCCTTAAGGCTCTTTTCGGCAAGAGCGTTTAGAGTAGTGTTTAGTGTTTTGATTGGATTAAAATACTGTTTAATTAATTATTGTGGTTGGTAATATCACATTTATCCTCGCGTTTAGAATTTGAGGTAGTGTTTAATGAGACGTTATTCTCATTAACGTTTACGTTTTATAAATTTTTATGATGTCTTTACCTTTTTTTCTATGACGTTACGTTTTTTTAGTCTTTTTATATTAAATAGCTAATTAAACATTTATTCTTACTGAACACTTCTATTTTAAACCGCTATATAAACAATTAATCACTAACAGTTAATATCTAACCGCTAATAGCTAGTAAAACAGCTGACAGTTAGTACAACAACTAACATCTATAAGAACTGCTAAAATTGCCGAACATGCCCTCAATGAAATTTGAATATCCTCAATAACTTTAGTCACCAACTAGATAATTATAATTAGATATAATTTATTAAAATTATTTTTTAAATAAATCCATGTAGATAATTAAGCATTTTAAAATTTTAAGTTTTATTTTTTTAAGTCATTGTTTAATAAATATATATGATAATGAGACATTTGAAAATTTTTATATTTTATTTTTAAAATTTATTTTTTAAATAAATGATTCTATTTTTGTTATAATTTAAAATATTACATTGGCCGGAACATGCTCCTCAACTGAAATTTGAATATCCTCAATAAATTATGTTCACCAACATTAGATTAATTAATATATTAATAGGTGAATTTATTAAAATTATCTTTTTAAATAAATCATGTAGATTTAATTAGCATTATAAAATTTAAGTTTTCCACTTTTTTAAGTCATTGCTTTTATAAAGTGAATTAGGTATGAATATGAAGACATTTGAAAAATTTTTTATATTTTAATTTTTAAATTTAAAATTTTTTTAAATAAAATGAATTCCTATTTTTGGTTATATCATTTTAAATTTATTTTTATTTAGGAAGAGAGATTAAAGTAAATAAGTATCATTTCTTAATAAATTCTTTTTTTTTTTGTTTATGCTTTGTATATAATTGATTTGGATATATTTTTTTAAAGAAAATAAAATTTCAAATAAAAATATACATTAATTTAACCTTGCTCAAAAATTTTTAAATTTTTTTACTTATTTTATTTATTTCTTAAAATAAAATAACATGTGTGGTACAGGAGATTGAATGAACCATCTGAAACATTTTACACTTTAAATATATATATAATATATATATATATATAATTTATATATTGATAAATTGTAATTCATTTAATGATTATCTGTAAGAAATTGTACATATATAAGTTTTTATAATGAATTTTAGATAAATTTGGTTAATAATTTTGATACGAAATGGCTACCACTCAAACATAAAGCTCAAGGAAGCAATGGAAGAACATTCTTAAGTTTTCTCAAGCATTGAAATGGAAGCCTACATGTTTAGAGTTTGAACCTGAAAATTCCAACACAAATACAAGATCATGCCTGACATGGCTTGGTAGCCACGCCGCGTGCCTAGATGGCAACAGTTTCCCCAGGACCCGCGCCCTTCAGTTGACTTTTAGGCTACGAGGAAAACAACTACTTTGAAGCATCACCACCGTGCCCCAACTACTACCAATTCACCCAGGCCCCGTGCTTTCCCTCTGAACTCTTCTGAAAGCACCCCCGTGCCAAAGATAGCTACAACGCCAAGGCCGTGCTCCCTCTACTCTGAAGCACCCGTGCCCAAATAGGCACTCATTCAAATTTCCTGCCCCGTTGCTTCCTTCTGAACTCTCACGCGAGGGAACTCCTACATTGAAAAGCACGCCCAGTTGCCAATAGCACACCCAGGCTGTTTGCTTGTTCCTTTGCCTATAATTCATTAAGTTAGTTAGCTATTTTGAGTTACCCAGGCCGTGCTTGTCCCTGCCTCTCATTAAGTTAGTTAGCTTATTTTGAGTTTTTGCTTTGTTAATGGGTTGGGCCTCCAATATTTCGACCCCCCATGATTAATTAGCCTTATTTTGTTTAGATTTAGTCAATCTTTAGTAGATTTGGATTAGATATCCAAATCGTTAAGTTGTTATGATTTTATTAGTCTTATCCTTAGTTGGTTTAGATTTGCTAAATCCTACTCCTTAGCTAACTCTGAATCCTTTAAGGATCTGGACCTCTTAGATTAGTATAAATAGCTTGTTATTTTGTAATTATTCAACAATTATTCAATGAATTAAAAGACTATTTCTTCATGCTTTGGCGTGTTTTGTTCATTATTTTTAGAGAGTGTGAGATTGTGCATTCTTCTTCTAATTGCATCAAGAATCAAGGTAAACTTATCAATTCTATTGTGGCGTTTAATCTTAATTCTTTTTAACTCTATTTAATTGGTGTTTCTTTTGCTTCTTTTTAAGCTTTTGGTGCCATAGAGAGGGGAATTATATTTCTAGATCTTTCGATCTCGTTCCAAAAAACTTGTCATTTAAGAGTTCTATTGAATTTATTTTCATTGGGTTTTCCCGCGTTAAGTTTGGTATTCAGAGCCAAAGATTAAGGTAAATTCTTTATGTTTATCTTAAGCTGCTAGGATCTTTTGTGTTTATTTGTTTTCTTATTCTTATTGTTCTGTGGGTTGGTTTTCTTCCTTCATACTTGTTTCTTTTTGTGATTTGTTTTTCTTTTGTTTAGTTTCAAATTCGTTTTGCTTCAATTTATTATTTTAGTAAATTTCGTTGCTTGTTTCCAATTCTGGAGTTTTAGATCTTAGAATCTTGTTGAACTATTAAAAAAAAAAAAAAATTTTCGTCCATACAATTATGAAATTGCTTGTGTGGAATCTTGATTTTGTTTCCTGAATCCTAAGGGAATTTTTGATTCCTAAATTCAAAGGGATTTTAGCCTTTGATAATTTTGGTGGGATTTTTTGCCTATTATCTTTTTGTGGGTATTAATTCCTAATTTCCTTAGGAGTATTTGCACCCATATTTAAATGTTGGGATTGTTCCTAATACCTTAAAATGGATTTATACCATAATTTTTATGGATTTAGTTTATCCACATATAAACATTGTGATAAAATACCCAATACTTTAACTACTTGTGTGATAAGATAACATAAAAAATTTTAGTTGACCATATCTTTTTGAGATTTTGAGATTATTGCAAAATCTACTACAATCCTTGTTTTCAAAATCTAAGATCCTATCTTAAATTGGGCCTGCAATTAAAAGGAACATCAAGCAGCAAGCCCGTGCTTCACCTTCAAGCACAACGATGACTTTCTGAACTTCCACTTGCTGACTAAGATCTTTACACCCACAGCCCCGTGTCCTTCCATCTTAAGCAACGCCCCGTGCAACTGGTTTTCTGAATTCTCTATTAAACAAACTGTTTTTCTTTTGTTTTTCTTTTGATTTACTTGGCACTTTGTTTTGGGTAGTAATTATTAGGTTTCCATATTTGGTTTGCTTTGTAGTAAGCTAATTTCCATACATTATATCCTATATTGTCCTTTTTTCAATATTCCAGTTTCTTCCTTTGTTTTTGTTGTGCAGCTTTCTTGTTGCTTCTATTACATTATTTAGGTGTGTTATAATGCTTGTTCACTACTACTCTAATTGATCATTAAAGGTAGTGCAATTTTTATGTTCTTGTGCTACTGTCCATATCGTTTTGAGTTTGCATTCTAGATATTTGTGCTTTTGCCTTTTTTCATTGTTAAGTTGCTTTTTATTCCCCTTGATTTCTAAACGTTTGATTCCTGGTTGAGTTGGTTGTTGAACTAAAGATTCCCTGAAGTTCAATTTTGGAAGAAATTTGCAGGAGTGATTCAAGAGTGTAAACACGTGAGGAGAGTGATTTACCAATAATTCTCAAATCTTTTTTTGTTTGTTTTTTTCCTCTTTAATACTAAACCAATGAGATAACATGATAAATAGTGAGGATGAAAAGTCAAATAGATTTAGAAATTCCCAATTAAATTACTTTGTTAATGGAATTTCAATCCCGTTAAGATTTACGATATTTGAAAGCTTCAACAGTTTCTTTCCGAAGATATGAAGAAAAGGGTTTTGATATAGGAGATTAAAGCTGCTCCAAAATGCTCTAATACAACAAGGAGCCTCGTCCTATCACGTATTACAGTCTAACCCATAATTTCTAAATACCTATAAGATGAGGAAGTCGATAATCCTTATATTGTTACTTTAGGAATTGAAAAATATTCAGGAAGGATTACAAGAAAGAAAAAGTGTGGATTACCTAATAGGTATTCATTCAACAAGGATGGGTGGATTGACTTCTGGTTCAAATTCATCTTTCTCAAAAGAAGATAATGAAGAAATATGGAAAATCAAAAAGATGAGTTCTTTGAGACTATCAATAAAGAAAAAGAGTGTATAAAAATAAACTGAGTGAAAAATTCTAATTAAAGTAAACTTAAAGAAAGAGAGGAGAAGAAAAGGAAAAGACAAATTTTCAAATTGTACCTTATGTGCAAAGAGTTGTTTGACATTCAAGATCTTAACCCTATCTTTGCCAATGTGTTTT